TTTCCCCCCCGGACGGGGATTTGAATCCCAAAAAGCCGGACATGTCCGGGAAAATCCGGACGTATGGTAACCCTATGCAGTAGCAGCGGCTGGGAGCCCTGGGCCCTTTTAAATCGCTGGGCCATTGGACAGCTGCCGCTTTTGCCCCCGCTCCTCTGGGCGGGGCAAAAGGGGCAGCGATGTTAAAGCGCTGCCGCGGTAGCCCTTTAACGTCGGTTGTGTACGGGCCCATACCGGCGGCCACTTCTTACTGGTACGCTGTACCGGCCCATACCAGCCCACTTTCACCTCTGATGATTGCTCAGTTTGCACCTTGCACAGTTGTTTTTGGCTCTTAAAGATAAAGACAGGAAATATACCCTGAGTCCTGGATGTGAATACTTGGGTGAATGTTCTGCTAAAATATTTGTAAATAGTCCAGTTATTTTCTTACTCTGAAGCTTTCTGGAAAATGAAGAGAATCCCCAAAGCAGCTGATGGGAATCCAATTTAACTGCACCTCAGTGCAGTTAACCCACTTACAGTGCAGCTGGGACCTTGTATTTTATGACTTTATAGGCAGAGGTTTTGGGGGGTGGTTTTTTCTCTCTCTCTGTCATTATGGGGGGTCTTACTATTTTATTTTATTCTTTATTTCTCTTCCTTAACACCCTTTCCCGCCACCCCTCCCTCAAAGGTATCAGTGGTAGGAATGTTTTTTTCCTTCAAAGCAGCTTGAAATAGGTTCCTGCTGGTTTGGAAGCTTACATCATACTTCAGCTTGTTTGGAAGTAATATTGCTTTTGAACTAAAGTTCACCTGTAGTTTTCCCATGTACACTAACATTTGTTTTAATTAACTCGAGTCACTGCTTTGGATATGTTTCTAATAGGATTTGGCTTATTGGCTGTGTTAATATTAGTGGAGAAATGAAAGTCTGGTCCTGCATGCCAACATATAGTAAAAAATATTTTAGAAGAGAAAAACTCTTCTTCAGCAAATCCTGCAGGAGCTGAGCTGAATAGGTTACTTTGCTCAGAAACACAAAAATAATCTATTTTTGGCACACTAGCCTAAATTTAGCTAGAGAGGAAAATTAGCCAAATTCTTAAATAGTGCAGAAGTGCAAATGGAAACAGGCTGTAGGAACAACAGTACTAGTTGGGAGACTTTTCTTTTTGTTTGCAGTTTCTTATTCTGAACTTCTGTTGCCTTCAAGAGCAAAACTTCTGTTTATCAGAAAACACATTAGGTGAAATTGAATTTCACTTAAAATTTTTGTGGTCACTAGAAACTGATGAGCATTGTTAAATTTATAGGGACCAGGTCCCGTGAACTAAAAATGAAGAACGTATTCATGTGACTTTAGGAACTAACATGCTATTTATAGTAGAGCTATTTGTACTGCTCTGCTATTAACTCTGAATCTGAATAAAATAGCAGTTATTTTTATTTAAGGTTTCAGAGTTGAGGATCCAAGGCCATTCACATCTCTCTAAGCTATTGTTCCAGGCTGTCTGCTGACTCAGGAACAGTTTTTACATTTGAAAATGTTCCTTAACCTAGAGACTTATCCCTAGGATAAAGGACAAATGTTTGCATATTCATATATTCCACACATATAATATGCACATGTAGAAGAATTTACCACTGAAACAAACATGTGGGAAGAATCCACACTAGCCTTTATGAACATAGTGAGTACCTCCAGTTAATTAAACTATTAGCTTGATACTCAAAAGTCTAGTGAAGATGAATTATGGAGAGTGAGAGAAGGTTTTTGTTTCCTTTTAAGTGAAAGCTTAGATTCTAGAGGATAGCTTGACAGCAGCAAGAGGTAGATTTTCAGCAAATTTCCCACCCTTTAAGTTGTGGGATAGAACTGGTAGAAACAAGACACACTTTTTTTCACATAATGTTTGTGAAGAATGTTATCCCTCATCTTTTCATCAACACTTGTGAAAATCAGGGATTATTGAACAGCTTTATCGTGGAGCTCTGAAAATAGTTTTCATATACACAGAACTGTAACCACTTTAAGCCTGGGACCTTCCAGGGCCTATAGCAAGTGCTGTGACTGGAAAGCTGGGAGATTCTCCTTTCCAAGTATAAAAATCTCCCATTTCTAGACCAGGTGAGTTGTGAGATATTGGACCTTTAAATCTCTAACAGGTACAGGTAGCGTTGCCAACCGTCCAGGATTGGCCTGGAGTCTCCAGGAATTAAAAATTAATCTTTAATTCCTGAAGATTGTCATTTGATGAAGAAGTTTCCAGGAATACATCTAACCAAGATTGGCATCCCTAGCTATGGGACCTAACTTTGTCTTTTCTAGACTTGGGGCCCAGTGTAAATTTAGGGGAGGGAAGTTAATCAGACTGCCTACATTGTGGGAATCGCTAGTTGTCCCTTTAGGGCTGTTTTAAGGCCCCTTTTTTTGCTGCTGGAATGATGCAAAGGGGACTTAGCCATGGCCAGGAATCTGTGCCAATGTGTTCATATAAATAAAATACTTTGGGGTCCATGTGAATAAACACTGTGCAGTCACAAGAGCATCATTTTGGCATAGCAGGATTGATCCTGCAAGGTACTGAGCTCCAACTCCTACTAGGAGTTGAGTGCTGATGGCTTCCGAGAAGGTGTTCAGCAGCCTAAAGGATCAGGGACATGTGATCATCCGTGACAGGAAAAGAAACAGTTTTGTTAAAATATTTTTGACCGTTGGCCTGAATTTGGTAGTGACTTAACCTGAAGAAGCCTCTCAGTTCTATAACTTGAGAGCCT